CCCTCCTTCCCTCCCTCCTTCCCTCCCTCCTTCCCTCCCTCCTTCCCTCCTTCCTTCCCTCCCTCCCTCCCTCCCATCCATCCATCCATCCATCCATCCATCCATCCATCCATCCATCTTTAAAACCAACATGTTTTGGCCCTACAGACAATGGCAGCACTCACTGTGCGCTCTGGTGATATAATGGTGTGTGGGAGTGACCTTGGGAGATGGGGGAAGAACCACAGCTGGGGAACAGTCAGATAAGAGGCAGCTGATTCCTCAGAAGGAATGGGGATGTGTCAAACATCTCAGAAGGGACCCACCCTAGTTTCTTGGGCTGTAAAGGCGAGGGGGGAGAGATGTACTTTCAGACTTTCAAGATTCTGTTAATGTAACCTTACAATAAAGTAGAATTAGTTCATCTGAGTGTGCTTCCTGTCTGGACTACCTTGCAAGGCTGACAGATGGTCATTCTTCCTAAGCACCTCTGTGGAAGAGCACTTCCATCCTTCCAGGCTGCCTCCACCAAAATGCTCCTACAAAAGCAGGGAATTCTGCGCTCTCTGCCCCTTCAGCCCCCGCTTTCTGTTTTATGTTTGGTTTGGCTTTTCCTAATGTCACACTCCACCCCACAACAGATGAACATGTTCAAGCCTCACTGGGCATTTTGGAATGATTTTCTATTCAAAAGGTTTTCTGTAAAGAAAAAAAGGAGCTATAAACTGACTACAGTTTTGAGGTTCCATCTCAGGAAGCTTTGAGTCGCATTTCTGGCATTGGGTTAAGACCGTGGATGGAAACCATCCCTTGCATATGATGAGAACTTTAATGGGGTGTGGTTCTGGTCCCCTCAAACTGTTTCTGAGAAGCAGGAGGAGCTTTGGGGGGCTTCTAAGTAAAAGACCAAAGAACTTAATCTCCAAATAATTTATAAAAATAACCTGAAGAACTGTATGGGATAAGCTACTAGACAAGGAAGTATTGTTTGATTCCCATGCAGATAAATGCTATTAGTAAGATATGACATTGAAACAGAAGATCAAAAATAGGACAGCCAACAGAAGGATGATCACTGGCCAGAGAGTTGCGGAGATTTTTTAACACAACTGGACAACCTTTTCAACAGCATAAATGACACTAAGTACCAACACTGAAAAAGCTTCTGAAAAGAAACAAATGAGCTTTTCACTCTGATAAAAGCTGTTCCCCATATCAATTAAACGAATTAAAGCTTTAGCCGACTAATCTACTAATTAAGCCAATTACAGCTTGCTGGCCTGGGGGAAAAAGTCCAGTTTTAACAAACAGATCCAGTGGAAAATTGGATCTGTTTAATCCAAAGTGCAGAGAAAGTAACAGATCTCTCCCTATTTTGGGTATTCCAAGGGTTTGCGGACCACATGGCCCCATCTATCTTAAAAAGTGTTTTTTTAGTGCTGACTTTTTCATATAAGTTATATAAAGTTTGTTAAGCGTTTAGTGGATATTGCCAGGGACATCCTTCCCTGCCCTTAAAAATGAGTAAACAATAGTAACAACTCCATTTTATTATGGTTACTGACCAATACTCGAGTTCTGACCAATACACCGAACAGATAACCCAAACAACATAAAATTAAAATAAAATTAGCTAACCGAGCCTTTAATAAGCAGGCAAATCACTATTCTCTAACCCTATTATAATCTCTTCTTTACACAAGCAGCCAGGCTGAATTTCACAACTTGCCTTGTAATTCTAGAAACTTGGTCTCCATTCAGAGCTAACGTAAAAATTCATCTATGCAATTAGGCATTTTGCAAACGATTGGATATAGCAAAGTAATGAGAAAATCCTCATAAAAGGAGCAGAGAGGAAGAGAGGAGGAGGGTGTAATTTTGCCCTCTCTCCCCAAGGACAAAATTTCTCATCACGGGGCATTTTTATATCTGTCTTTTAGAACAGCTAAAGGAAAGATATTAAAACACGCCAAGGTAAATGCTTTCTGACATTTGGCTAAAAAAGGGATGTTCCCAGTAACTTTCCCCTAGGATTTGAACATCTTAGTTCCAGTTAATTCATTGGTGGAAATCATAGAAGTTCCATTATGGGCTACCTGCATGTCAGTACCAATTATCTCCTGCCATAGCCCTGTTTCAGCTCCCTCATAGCCTATTCTGACAAACATCTATGGGGTGAGCCTGACAGGAATTATTTTCTTCTCTACCTCCCACATTCAAGAAATTTAAAAGAGATGGACCAGGATTAAGAGGGCTGGGCCCCAGGGGCAGAAGAATTAATGGTTCATAAACAGGTTCTGGATTCCTTCTTCATCTTCCTCCTTCCATTCTTGGGACACAGTTGAGTATCTGAAAGAATCTGGATTGCACAGTCTCTATTGCAGGGTTTCTCAAAACTTGGCAACTTTAAGATATGTGGACTCCGACTCCCAGAATTCTGGGAGTCAAAGTCCACATATCTTAAAGTTGCTAAGGTTGAGAAACACTGCTCTATTGTCATTGTTCTATTCTCTAAACATAATTCAGTGCTATCAAGGAGTTGGGCCAAAGATTTGGGCTGTGAACAATTTACATGGAGTTGGTCTACCTCTGGGTAGAGAAAAAGGGATAAAATGGCCCCACACCTCCTTTGTGCTTTCTGGCAGCAAATAGGAAGCGTGCTTTACAAACTTGATGATTCTATGAGTACTGGAGAAATGAAAAATCATCTCCAGGTAACTGAAATATGCCACCTGTTCAAAATTCTGCTGGTTAAATAATCCCAATCTAAGTCATTTTGCAAAACTCAAAATATTAGTCCTTACTATAATGAAACTGTAAATGTTCCTTGCAGAAAGTTGTGAATTCACCAACTCCACGTAACAGCACTGCAGTATATCTATTCTAGGTATTTCTGGGGTGAAGATGTTCTGCTTTGGTCAAGTTCTCCACATGGAATTAATATGAAAATTAAAGAGCAGTGGAGCAATGGTGCTTCTTTCTTTGACCTCCTTTTCTGGTGGATACAAAATCAGAAAGTTGACTTAAAGTCTTATATCTTACTTGAAGATTAGTATTTTCATACACCTTATAAATAAATCAAGTGGTGATCAACTGATACAGTCTGTTCTGTAATTTCACCCTTGAAACATGGTCAAATCCTGCAACCAGTGATTGCAAATTTACATTGTGATGTAGAATTCTCCATCAGATAGCTTAGCACAACTCCTTTTTCTGTTGTGCTTCTGCCTGCTCTAAAACCTGGTTGTTCTGCTAGAATGCTCCTCAACTCCAACCAGTTTGCCAACTTCCGATATAGGTGTCTTGTACAGATCTTACTAATAGCATTTAACAGATTGGCCACTAATTAGCATGTAGGTCTTGCTTTTTCTTCTTAAGGGTGGTAGTATCTAGGATATAGGACTGTGCTCTCTGTACAAAAAAACCCTCAGAATGGACCTTGGTTTAGGAGACTTTGAGTGCAGGGACAAAATGTGTTCATACACTGTATTCTTCTGTGAGTGTGTAAGATCCCACTGATCATTTTATTCAAGTGTAAAATATGTAGAATATACTTCAGTTCGGATTTAATGGACATTCTCTTTTAATGGACACCTCTTCTCTCCATTAGTCAATAATAATGGGCTAATGGGGGGAAATGTTGTCCATTAAAGCAGAGTGTTAATTGAAAGTGTGAATAATGAGGCCAAGATCAGAACCCACCAATCCACACCTTTTAATTAGCTCTGGGGGAATTAGATTCAAGCCAGTGACTTTCCAGCTTTTAATTGATTATCTAATTAAAGAAGCTCTGATGCTGAAGCAGGAGGCCAAAGGGGGCGGTAAAAATTAATTAGTTTCTTCAATAGAAGAAAAAGTAGCTGCCCTGTAATGTCAAAAAAAAAATAACAGCTGAATTAATCTATTTATACAGCTGACAAATACATTTTAAACTGATTTGCCCTTTATTTTTTTCCTCATAGCAGCCTATCCGTGGGTATCAAAAACTGATCATTCCAGATGGTAATGATGCTTTGGAGGGTTTATTTGAAAGATGATGGGTTCCTTAGAACACCTGGCCAAAAATGCTCCGGTGAATATTGGAATTCCAGCTGATTAACCCAAAAATTGCTTGGACTGACATATTATCCTAAAATGTGATGTAAAATGAGGAGGCAAACAAACCTTCCTTTGAAGTCTGTTTCACCAGGGTTAAAATAACGACACTCTCAGTAGGCAAAAATACCATACCTCCAGTGCGTAATTCTGGAAGACGCTGGTACTGCTTGGGCTGCAAGAGGAAACCACCTCTGATCTTGAAAAGGAACCTAAAAAGCAAAGGAACGTTGCAAAAGCAAATGTTTACACTAGTCCTGGAAAGGAAGATTTCCTCCCAGCCAGGCCACGCTTATTTCAAAGAGAGAGGAATAATAATAATAAAAATAATTAAAATGTATATGCCGTCTGACTCCCAGCGACTCTTGGGGGTTTACAAATTATTTAAAACATGAAAACAAGACATTAAAAATGTCAAGGAACAATAAGAAGGGCAAAGAAGGCTGGATGACAAACAAGTCCTTCTAGAATTGCCACCAAGAGGGAGCCTTTTAGCTTTAGAGACTATTGCCCTGAGATTTCAGGTACCAATTTGATTACCTTAAATGGTTTCTTAAAAGAACCGAACGGTAAATAAATAGAAAATGAAAGGAGAGAAAGTCATGCTCAGATTGCAATAACTCTCAGAGCCAATTCAGACATGAAATAACTCTGATCCAGAGCAGTCCAATCAAAGGAATACCTCTTCTAGTTCTTACCAGGATGAAGAGCTACCTAACCTAAATTAGACTATACTAGCCAAAGGAGATAATTCAAATCTTTCCATTGCACTTTTTTTCCTATCATCTGTACTAGTGGAGAAAGGTAGGTACCCTAACCCAGAATGCAATGGCTCATCATGGTTAATGGAGAGAGGAGGGAAGGGTCTAGCGCTGAGTTCTGAAGAACAGATACAAGATGTCTTTCATGAAATCTGTGAGATTTCAGCATTCTTCAATGCTTATCTCAAGGTGAGATCACTGAAACCTTGCATGGTTTTGATTTTATAAGGTTTAATTGCTTGGGCCATTTTAATACCATCGCCTTCTGGAAGGATAGGTAGCCATCTTGTGAGATTATACCATGGCACATGTTTCACAAGTCTGTGTCAGCTGATGATGTAAAAGCAGATAAGGAAAGAACACTCGAGCAGCTCTCTTACCACACTGAGAGGAACGTTTTGAGGAACCGTTGTTAGAAGCTGAACTTTCAAGACTTGTTGAGCTCAGGCCAATCCTCTTTAAAGCAGATGACGCATCCTCCCGAGGAGAAGAGTTGCTTTCCAAATCATTGCACATTTCTTCATCAGTTAGAGAGGCAGATTCTGAATCCAGGGCCCCAAGGGACGAAACACTTGCTCGGTCTGAATTTTGATCCTGAAACAAGAACAGGGATGGGGGTTTTCCTACAGATCCACATCTGGTAGCAAACAGCTGATAGCAACAGCTGATCAGATCAACTCGCTCCAGGTTTTATAGGTAACCGGAAAACTCCCTTTGCCACTGATTGAATGCCCGCAGCACTCTAAAGCAGCTACTTAGATGTAAAAAGGCTTTGCCTTGTGAAGATGGGAGAGTATTGAATCCCAGGCTCATATTTTATTTTACTGTAATTTTTACTGAGATATTTGTAATGAGCACTTCTTTGGACAGGCAGAAGAATTTTATATACAGCTCCTTTTTGGAGGATAAAGAACTTAAAATAATTATTTGCTGTTGCCAGGTTGGCAACTGTAGCCTGTAGAATTTGTACTTTGCTAATTGGCTAGTAAACCAGTGTTTTTCAAACTTGGCAAGTTTAAGATATCTGGACTTCAACTCCCAGAATTCCCCAGCCAGGGTTAGGGTTAGGGTGGCTGGGAAATTCTGGGAGTTGAAGTCCAGACATCTTAAACTTGCCAAGTTTGAAAAACACTGAAGTAGTCTAAGCACATGTGTTATTTTGTGTTTTGGTGCTGTCCATAACATAGAAACCCTTTTCTAATTTTTAGCTAAGTCTAGCCAAGATTGTACTATGTTACTAATCCTGTAGGCCTCATGATTCTAGGCAATGCTGAGGAGTACAAACATTGCCTAGGACTTTCATGGCATTTAAAGGCTACTCCTGTAGAGCTGAAGAACTGTTAAACCCTGAGCCGTAAAGGGGTGAGTGAAGGGCAAGTAGCTACACCCAAAACTCTGTTGAATTGTTTGTTTCCATGACAACAATTTGAAAGACTTACCTTCGATGCTGCTGCATACGTGGTAAACTTTGAATACCACTTGCTGGCCTTCTCCGCCACCCCTTTTCCTGCAGAAAACATGCTGCTCTTTAGAACATCAAAAGTAGGTGTCAGGAGCGTATCCAAGTTGAACGAGGTTGGAGAGGCAAGCGTTACTGCACCAGCCATGTCTTGAGATTGTCCCCTTGACAAATTGTTTGGAGAGAACACTGGAGAGGACCAAAGCCTATCCCTTACTCTTTCATTTTTTACATGGTAGCTCTTGGATTTGGTGAGGCTTACTGACCTGGGTGAGTTTGGAGGAAGGCTAGATCTTCGGCATGGCTGGGCCAATGTTGGACTCTTTTTGTTGGGATTCTTGTCACTGTAGGCTTTTTGCAAATCTATGCTCGGCGTACGGCTTGTTAAAGGACTACTCATATTGTTCATATACATCTCTATTTCTTCAGCTAAATCGCGCCTTGCCGATGGGGTGGAGACCCTTTTCTCATCCTCTTCATCCTCTTCTTCCTTCCCTTGCTCTGTCTCAGCTGCTAGCAAGGACAGTGGATCAAATCCAGTTTCAACATCGACCTTCTCGATGGGCTTCAATGGAAAACTTATGGCTCGCTGAATCTTCTTTGGCTTTCTATGCATCAGTTTCACAGGGTTCACTGAAACAGGTTCATTATCCAGATCTTCCAAATCAAATATAACAGGAGACTCTGCTTTATCCACAGAACTGCTCTCGTAGGATACATCTTCATCACTGGATTCTTTTTCCAGATTGCTCTTCCGACCGGGTCCCAAAGAAGACGGTCGGAGGTTGAGGGTCTTTGGCCTTATTCTCTTCTCAAACACTTTAGAAAGGATTTTTGCATCCACGCCTAGTTTTTCAACAATTTCTTCAGGACTGGCTTCATGATTAATCTGATTTTTCATGAGCTCCATGAGAGCATCTCCACTCAGGTTCCTGTTTCGCCAAACTATCCGTTTGCGTTCCATTTCAGCTGCGTTTAAATGCTTGTTTCTCAGGTTTTCCGCTTTAGTGACTCCTGTTTTATTGATATTGTCAAAACAAGAGAAGAGCAATCCTGCAGAGCTTTCTGGAAGGAAAAAAAAAGCATGGACAAAATCCAAAGCTATTACATAATTAATTAACTTACTAAAACACCAGCAGACTCATAGGTTCCCCTAATACGTTTAAAAGGTTTTGCTGTAGTTGTTTTTAGAGGGAAGGGGTGTGAGCCTTATTTTTCTATCCAATTTACAGGCAGTCAGTACAGTATTCAGAAAAACCTGGCCATTTATAAACAGATGCATGCAGTGGGGATGAAAAATAAGTAAAATATCAATAAAATTCACCCATGCTTAGAAAAAACTCTCAGCTGCGTCAACTTACCTGTAGCACTATCTCTTGTTGCATCTGATATTTTGCCTGTTGTATCACTGATGCGAACAATCCTTGAACCCAGCTTAGCACAACTGGAATTTTGATAATTTAATGCTGGGAGGCAGTCACCGCTTCCCTTTCCACTCTCAATTTCAGATACTATACACACACAAAAACGTACAAGAAATTGCTCAAAAGTTGAAGTCGCTCTTAATCAAAGGCTGAAGATACTCAATTCATTTTTCTTTAGGATTAGACTAGTTACTACCAACTACTGATTTCTTTGGGGAAATGTCAGCAAACTTATTTGGATATAGGCCTGCTTATGGGAACGTACCCTAGCACAGAACGCCATCAGTAAGGGAAGTTGTGATTGAAACTAGCATATCAGCAGTATCTATGAACCAAGCTACAATGTCTCATTCCCAATTTGTTCCCACATGCGTTTGAACATTCCTTTCAACCAGTGGTTCTCAAAGTGTGGTCTGGGGACCCCTGGGAGTCCCCAAGACCCTTTCAGGGGGCTTGCAAAATCAAATAAATGAATATTTTAACATTTTTGAGATTTAATTTGTAATATAGTGTATATGAACCATACAAAACAGAGCTCTTTGGGGTGCTCAATCATTTTTAAGCATGTAAAGACTGAAATGCTTGAGAACCACTGCTCTAAACATTTGTTACTATTATCTGCTATGTAACTGCAAAGTTTTCACAAAAAAACCCCGAAATCTAAATTTTGGTCAGCTTCTTACTTAAGACAAACCTACCTACCTACCTACTGTGAGACTAGGCTGAAGCTGCCATAGCCTAAAGATGAAGCAGGCACTAAGCAGAGAGGACAAAAGCCAGGAAACATGTCTATGAGATCCCTTTGGGGAGGTAGATAAGGAGGAAGCAAGTCGTTAAGGAAACAAAGGACCTGAACCAGACAAAAGAAGTTGGGCCTGAGCACATGGAAACCCTCACCCCAATCTCATCCACTTGTAAATCAACCAAGCAAGGACTTTTGGGGATAAAAGGGGTCCCAAAGCCTATCCACTCTGAGTCCTCTGAGTCTTCTGAGTCATCTTTGGATCCAGACTTCCGTCCCTCTAGCTAGTGCCTGGCAGCCTAGTTGGGAAGGAAGTGGGTAAGTGTGGATGAGAAGGAGCAAATGTACCTTGCAACCAGTAAAGTTTTGCTGTTACTTTAAATTCACTGGGTCTCCGTGTATTACAAAGAACCTCTTGTGCCTCATGTTCGGTTGGAAGTGATTTGTGTGTATCCCTAATTATTTTCTGGCTATTCACCAGGGCTGTGTGTCTGTCTGCTCCAGCTGCACCTATTTGGAAAACCCAGGTAGAAAGCAAGGGGGGCTGACAAGATCCGTGTGCGTGTGTGAGTGAGTGACCATAAGCCGAACCTGGGAGCAGCGTGTTTAACACTACCTACCTACCTGTCTCTCTGTCTCTCTGTCTACCTACCTAGCTACCTACCTAGCTACCTACCTAGCTACCTACCTAG